TCAAAGCCTTAGCCCTCTTTGTCCTAGTTCTGAACTAGTTCAGTTACCCCCCAGTGACCCAGATTAGGGATTTTTCTTGTTTTTGCTCATGGTTGGTTGTTTTTGTTCTTTCTTTCTGTGGACTGTCTTATAGAAGCACTGCCTTATCAATGACAATTTGCATTTCTCTTATTTTATGATGATTCTACTCTTAATAGTTATTTTTGTCAAGTTCATTTTTCATTAACTAAAGCATGCTTTCACTTGCAGTTGCCCAGTGGCCATGAGTAATGATTAATATTCTAGGATTCACATGTTTATGCAACTTTTCGATGATGCCAAAAGGGGGAAGATATTGTGTATTGTGCTTAAAAACTATTTTTCTGAACAGTGATGTTTATGACCTAATTAAATCTGGCCCTTAATGATAAGTTAAAGTTTTCAAGTGATGATATTTTAGCTGAGTTCCACAGGTTCTCTGATCAGTAAAAGCACAGAGTTTGTCATCATCAAAAAGGGGGTAATTTGTTGGCTCAAGATCATTTGAAGTTTTGAAGAATGACAAATGAACTCAGTGCAGGACCAGGTCCATCTTAGGAGACACAGTTGTTATGGCCCATGCACATGAGATGCACGTGAAGAAGATAAGTCCTTGGGGATCAAGCAGCAATATCTTCTGAATATCTTCTGAACTGATCGAAAAGATTGTATATAGGATAAGTAAAAGATGTCTCCTTATGAGAAGAGAACACATCCGGATAAGGGTTGGAGTTTGGATTGGTCTAGGACTCAAACTCAATGGAGGATCAGAAATTGACTGACAATCCAACTCTAATTACTAATCTAATAAATAACTGAGTTGTTCTCTTTTACAGGTATGCACATACGCTGATGTTAAGCAAAATTGAGAGCAAAAGAGCAAGGCTATTTTGCAAGCAATTTATGTGAGATTGAGTGTGCACGCCTGCAGCTACTTGAACAAGATAGAAGAACCAGTTCCATTGTGTTTATTCTTATTCTAGTTCAATTGTAGTAGGTGATTTAAAACTTGTACCTTTCCAGCTTTCATAGAAGCAATTGTATTAGGTACTTTGAGTATTCAAGTTAGAGTAACTTGAAAGTGTCGCAACAATTGAGGCTGTGTGCCACATAGGGATTAGAGTTAATCCTTAGGTTTACAAGAGTTTTGTAAATGCTGTTTTTGGCTCATTGAGTTTAGTGGATGTTTGGGAAAATCCTACTGAGTAGTAGGTCGTGGTTTTTTCACCTTTTGAGCCAGGTGTTTTCCACGTAAAAATCCTTGTGTTCTTTTATTTTCTGTATTTTAATTTCGCAAACAGTAGTAGTTAGAACACCTAGAAGAACCAGGTTCTTCTAGATCGAAAATTGGGTACCACACAAATCACCCCCCTCCCTCTTGTGTGGTATTGATGTTTGGAACATCATACTTAGTTCACATCATGGTACTGGAGAGCCTTACAGTAGGAGTTGGGTACTAGGGTGGAGCCGAGCATAATCTTTCACCCTCAGACGGACGGGCAGTCCGAGCGCACGATTCAGATTCTTGAAGATATGCTCCGTTCTTGTGTGATGGAGTTCAGAGGGTCATGGGACCAATTCTTGCCTCTTGCAGAGTTTGCCTATAACAAACGGTTACCAGTCCAGCATTTACATGGCACCGTATGTATGGTAGGCGGTGCCGGTCCTCGGTAGGACTGTTTGAGCCAAGCGAGGCCCGATTGTTGGGTACAGATTTGGTCCAGGATGCTCTAGATAAGGTGAAGGTGATTCAAGAGAGACTTCGCATAGCCCAGTCTAGGCAAAAGAGTTATGCAGATGAGAAGGTTCGCGATTTGGCATTTATGGTTGGAGAGCGGGTCTTGCTTCGGGTATCACCTATGAAGGGCGTCATGAGATTCGAGAAGAAGGGCAAGCTAAGCCCAAGGTACATTGGTCCTTTTGAGGTATTGTGGCGTGTTAGGGAGGTTTCTTAAGAGCTTGCCTTGCCTCCTAGCCTAGCAGGAGTTCATCCGGTATTCCATGTTTCCATGCTCCGGAAGTATCACACTGATCCGACTCATGTATTAGATTTCAGCTCAGTCCAGTTGGGCAAGGATCTATCTTATGTTGAGGAACCAGTAGCCATTTTGGACAGGCAGGTCAGGAAGCTCAGGTCAAAGAATATTGCTTCAGTAAAGGTCCAGTGGAAGGGTCAGCCGGTCGAGGAGGCGACTTGGGAGACCGAGTAGGATATGCGCAGCCGTTATCCTCATCTTTTCACCACTTCATATATGTCTCTATGCTCGTTCGAGGATGAGCGAATGTTTTAAGAGGGGGAGGATGTAACAACCCGGCCAGTCGTTTAGAGAATTTACGCCCCGATCCCCTATTAACTGCTTTCCCCGTGTCTTTTTCTACTATTGTGATTTGCCAGGATGGTTCATCATGAGTTTCGGAGTGTTTTGGGACACTTAGTCTCTAAATGAGAGTTTAAATATTAGAATTTGGACCGTAGTTGGAGCGGTGTAAAGACGGCTCCGGAATGGAATTCCATCGATCTCGTTGGCTCCGTTGGGTGATTTCGGGCTTAGGGGCGTGTCAGGATTGTGTTTTTGGATTTCTGTAGCTTATTTAGGCTTGAAATGGCGAAAGTTAAATTTTTTGAGTTTCGAGGTGATAGTGGAAATTTTGATATCGGGGTCGGAATCCGACTCTGGAAGCTGGAGTATGTCCGTAGTGTTGAATATGACTTGTGTGCAAAATTTGGGGTCAATCGGACGTGGTTTGGTTGGTTTCAACATTTGTTGTAGAATTTTGGAAATTCAAGTTCATTAGGTTTGGATTGGAGGGTGATTCGTAGTTTTAGCATTGTTTGATGTGATTTGAGGACCCGACTAAGTTCGTATGATGTTTTAGGATTGGTTGGTATGTTTGTTGAGGTCCCGGCGGCCTCGGCTGTGTTTCAGGTGCTTAACGGATTTGATTTGGGACTTAGGCCTTTTCTAATGTTACTGAACCTGTTGTTTTCGCACCTGCGGATTTTGGACCGCAGGTGCAGTGCTGCAGAAGCGGCTGGGTAGCCGCAGAAGCGGAAATGGAGCTAGACAGCAAGGACCGCAGGTGCGGCTGGGGGACCGCAGAAGCGGAACCGCGGATGCGGCCCAGTGACCGCCGAAGCGGCCCCAGCCCGGATAAGTGACTTCCGCACCTGCGATGATTTTTTCGTAGGTGCGGGACCGCAGAAGCGGCCCCATGACCGCAGATGCGGAAATCGCTGGGCAGAAAAGGGGAGTTCAAGGGTTTGAGATTTCATAATACAAAAATTGATTTTGGAGAGGCGATTTCTCGATGGATTTTGAAGGAGAACTATTGGGTAACGAATTCTAACTCTATTTTGGATCCTATATCTTAATCTATTGTTGTTTTTCTCGTCTAATTAAGGAATTTGAGGGTGGAAGTTTTGGAATGGGGGAAAAAGCTCCCGAATTGAAAATTCGAGTTTTGAATAGGTATTTGACATCGGATTGGGATAATTTTTGTACGAGTGTACTCGTGAGTGAATGGGTGTTCATAATTTGTAACTTTTACTCGATTCCTAGACGTGGGCCCAGGGAGGATTTTTGGGCGTTTTTCCTAATTTCTTATCCTAGCTTGATTTCATTAGTTAAATTAGTTACTTGTAGTTATATTTATACTATGCAATTGGTTTGATTAGATTTGGGTCATTCGGAGTCAGATACTCGTGGCAATAGCGTGATATCGGGTTGATTTGAGTGGTTCGAGGTAAGTGGCTTGCCTAACCTTGTGTTGGGGAACTCCCCCTTTAGGATGTTTGGTATTATTTTATGTGTGAGTGCCGTGTACGTGAGGTGACGAGTACGTACACGAGCTATTGTTGCAAAAATCCCGTTTTTCCTACTTAATCGTAAACTGTTTTCCCTTGTTAGATTGCACTACTATGTTTAATTGCTGAGATTAGATTAGGAAAGCATGCCCATGTGTTTTAACTGCTTATTTTGATTTATGTGCAACATTCTTAGGTGGACCCCTCTTTCCATCATTTGTGTTTAGTCTAAACTGTATAATTTGATGTCGTACCTGCCATTTTGTATCTTGAGCTGCATATTTACTTTGGGGCTACAAACGTATTCCGGGAGAACCCCTTGTCTTGCATGTTTATTTTGGGACTACGGACGTATTCCGGGAGATCCCCCAGCACTGCATATTTATTTTGGGACTACGGACATATTCCGGGAGATCCCCCTGTACTGCATAATCATTTCGGAGACTACAGGACGGTATCCCGGGAGAGTTTCCTGTTGTGTTTACTTTGTTCTGAGCCGAGGGCTCCCTTAACCATTAAAATTATGCAACTTCTTTAATTGTGTTACCGTAAACTCTAGTTATATCTTTTACTGCTTAATTTATTATATATATATACTCCGGTAGGGCCCTGACCTGACCTCGTCACTACTTGACCGAGGTTAGGCTTGACACTTACTGAGTACCATTGTGGTGTACTCATGCCCTTTTCTGCACATGTTTCCATGTGCAGATTTAGGTACGAGCTATCAGCCTCGAGGTTAGTGCGTGCTTGCTGATTCCAAGAGACATCAAGGTACTTCTGCCCGCGTCCGTAGATCCTTGGAGTTCCCTTCTACTCCCTCCTAGAGATTTCCTTTTTGTTTATCTTCATACTTTTGTATAGAGCTATATAAATTGTAGAAGCTTGTGACTTAGCGATATTCCTGTTCTTGGGAGATTATTTTGTATATGCGGGAAGGCTCTATCCTTGTTATTTACAATATGCTGTTTTAATTTTTATAGTAGTGTTTTCTTTAAATTTTTCGTAATATTAGGCTTAACTAGTCGTAAAGATTAGGTGCCGTCACGACATCTTCGGAGGGGTTAAATTGGGTCGTGACAAAATTAAACCTGGGATCTCATAATTTCATTTAAAAAAAAAAATATTTATGCAGCATTTTGCATAGTTCTAATTATATTCCTTGGCATATATATAATAAAAATCCAAAAATCAACAGTATAAAATTAAAATCACAAAGCGAGAGTTACACAGTACTACATAGAGAAAATGATTCATTGTGATATTTGCAAAACCAAAAGTTGCAAAACTTATTTTGGACATCCAACATTAGTAACCTACGCACTCATTGACAATTATTAACGGGTAAAAACCCTCTCAATGAAAATCCATATATATGTCTTACTATTATATTGTAAATTCTAAAATTTCTTGGCAGGTGCAAACTTTGACTTGATCTGCTGAACATCCTCAGTACTAATTTGGAATGTTTGAGCCAAGATATCATCTGGCACAGTTGGTGAAGCTCCAAACAATGTTGTTGAAATGGACTGAGTACCAGGCAGCTGGCTATTGAAGCCAGAAATAACAGCTGCTGGAACTTTACCATTATTCTTCTGGAAATGTACAAGTCCTCTAGGAAAAACAAAAACTTCGCCCTTTGTAATTTGCTTAGAGACCAGTACATTGGCGGTAGTAATGAAGCCAACATCCAATTCACCTTCCATAAGAAAGACCATTTCGGAGGCACGTGGGTGGGTGTGGGGTGGGTTAATACCACCAGGGGCATAGTCAATTCGAGCGAGGGATACACCGAGTGTGTTAAGCCCAGGAACTTTCTCAACATTTGCTGTTGTTACTACCGAACCAAATGTGTTGTTCGTGGCTCCAGGCTTTGAAATGGCCAACGACGAGAAATCTGCCGCCGTGAAATTGGTCTTGCAAGGGAATCCGTTCACCTTCACCACTGTTTCATGCACAATTAGGTAGTCATGTATAACATAATCATAATTTTCTTGATAAGCATTAATTGGTGATTAGAAATCTGGTAAAAATAATAAGTAATACTCCACTGTGCTGTTACAAATTAAATTACATTAACGGTGTAAATTACAAATTAATAATTCGACTTACTTTTTCTTTTTTTACGGGGACTAGTTACAAATTTCGGACGTTTTTCGATTATTAAAAATTGTGTATACGGGGAAATGACTTCTCACTTTTGCCGGAAGTCATTTTTCCTTCACAATTATGAGGGTGTTTGGCTAAGCTTATAAGCTGGTCAAACTAGTTTATAAGCACTTTTCCGTTTAATTATCTACGCGTTTAGTAAAGTTAAAAGTGATTTTAAGCCAAGTGCTTATAAGTCAAAATAAGCCAAAAGCCATAAGCTGGTCACCCCCAACTTATGAATTTTTAGCTTATAAGCACTTTAAGCTTGACCAAGATTGTTACTATTTTATCCTTAAAGTATTCATTTTTAGAACAAAACTCCTACATCGATACTCACTGCCTCAAGTATTCAACCTAACCCCCCCTCCCCCACCTCTTCAAGTCTGCAATTCTCATTGACNTATATATATATATATATATATGTGTGTGTGTGTGTGTGTGTGTGTGTGTGTGTGTGTGTGAGAGAGAGAGAGATTGTGTATTAATCTTTGAACTATTTGTAATAAATTAGGACATATCAAATTTTGGGTATATTGTTTTCTAAGTGTTGTGGTGATGAAGACAGTGTTTGTTTCTCTTCAAATATTTTGTCCTGTTTAGGTTTATTTTTTACTGAGAAACTTTTGTCAATTTAATAAGTACTATAACTTATGTTAGATGCTTACGATAAAATAAATTATATTTATCATAAAACTTATCTTATCAAAGCACAGTTGTATTTAAAATAAAATGACAAATAGAATATTTTGTATTTGAATTGATTTGGAATCTAAAGTTTTGAAGAAATTAGGTCATTATAAGTGTAAATAGTTCTAAGGTTATTTAAGTCATTTTAACAGAAAAAGAGCTTATCAGCACTTTTTTATCAAATACAGTAACTTATTATCAATTTCAGCACTTATACCCAAACACGTAACTGCTTATTTATTAAATCTGTATCACCACTTCAAAGTGCTTTTCAGCACCTAATGCTTATCAGCTACTTCAAATTAGCCAATCCAAACGGGCTCTATCTCAATTCTTAGACTTTATACTATTGTTTTAACCAACACCTACATATTACTAACAATCTCTAATACTCAATAATTTCATCAAAACACCTTATTTGTACTAGTTAACTAATATTATTATCAATAAATATGTAATAAAAAAAATTTCCCAAAAAAACCTTTTTCACTCTCCAACAAAAAATATTTTGCAGGTAATAATTCTTTTTTCAAAAATTATTTTTAGAAAAATGACTGCCGTCATACTACACAACCAAAAGAAGAACGGCAAGAAGAAATATTCATTTGAATAAGTTTGGCATAAAAAGAGGGATCCAATATTACTTGAGTTGAGATCAGCAACACAAACATCTTGGAGCATGTCCTCATCTGCCGCAAAACAATATCTGTCTATGCTAATGGCTAACAAAAATAGTATCGCCATCTCCATACTTTGAAATATCTTACTATTAATTCCAAAGGTAGCCATAATATGGTGGTGAATACTAGTCTATTTGTTTTTTTTTTTTTTTTAAAAGGAAGGACCAGAAGCTCAAGGAGAAGAAGAACTCGTTAATATTTCTATTTAATTAATTTGACGATGCTGAGAGAAATTGGAGTGGCTTCATTTATAGGAAAAACTTGAAAGGCTTTAATTTGGTATTGGAATTGACGTGAATTAGGTGCTTGTGTAAAAGAATTATAACATTGATATATACATATGGCGAGGAGTAAATAAGTATTGCTAGACTTAAATTTGACGTGAGATGAAACATGAGTGAAGAAATTAAATAGAGTGGTCAAAATACTATACCAAATAAAGAAAAGCCTTGCTTCAAAATAGGAGTCTCTTTTTTCTTCTTTTTGGTGGTGCTATGGCTCTTTCAAGATTGTTGGTAAATGATTTTGAGTGACAAGACATTCTCCTAACTCAAACACAAAAGCTTTACTCATGCATGTAATTTTGCACATAGCTTAAAATGCGGAGTTATAATGTATTTATTCCAAAGTAATAATCTCTCTGAGGATAACAAGTTACGGTGCAACTACTCTTGCGCATGTGGTCACGTTATAATAGGTATATCTCAACAATATGAGTCTCCAACATCAACCACTATAATTTTTCTCCGAGTAGAAATGTAGTATCATTAATATATTATTGTCAATGTGTATTCTTGCATCTTCTACAAATTAGAGCGAATTTGGGTGTTGATTCTTTTTTTTATATTTAAATTATGTGTTTTTCTTCATGTACGAGACAAAATTAGGATATACTGGTAATCCTTTGTGTGGCTTGGTCTAGCTATGTTGTTGGACACTCTATATTAGGAGTTTGGTACTATCTTATGGTAAAAGTATATGACCAAGATAGTTTCTATATAAGTTTCTCACTTGTTATACTGTAACGCCGAAAAATTTAAGAGATTCTTGCACAAATATACAAACAAGTACAACATGCATCTGTATAGCCATGCTGCCATGTTTTTAAGTTTACGTCCGCAGAACCAATTTTTTCCGCAATAATGCTTATACACATGGTATATAATTGTATACGGTCAAAATCATGTGCCTCCGATTTATAGGCTCGAGGGTCCATCCTAGGCCTAACTCCGGGCAAGCTCGAGGTCGAGTCCGGTGGATCAGATTCGAGTTCGAAGACAGAATGCAATGCTCGAGAGATAGGAGTACTAAGAGTTCCAAGGTTGAGTGTGCTCGACCCCGAAATTGTACCGTTATGGATTTACATCAGAATTAGCTAGATTCCTGCCACGTCGCCAAAACCATGGCGCAAATCCCGGAGCAGGATCGTACTATTCCGTACTAGGCGGTTAGACAGCTGTACCCAGAATATTCCTTACTGTAAATACAAATATACCTTATTTAGGGTTCCCCTATTATATAAAGGGAACCCCAATCATTTGTAAGATCATCTAATCATTGAGGAAAGAATATACTCTCTACTTTTTGCCTACAGTTCATCGGAATTGTCCTTTAGCTTTATCGCTCTTACTTTACTTTTCTTGCATTATTGTTCTTATTTTTCTGAGCCCACCTCGAGGTCACTGCTACCCGTGTCTTTAGGGGGGTGGCGTGGGAGCGTGGAGTGGGCGAACAGCTAGAGTAGCCGCCATCGACCATATGCCGCTTCGAATTGCCTTGTCTAGTTAACCCCAAATGTAGGTCAGCCTTTAGGTCATGCTTATTTGCATCATATCATTTAAACCTAGCCGGGTTCGGTCCCAAGCACCGTGTCCCATTGTAGGAGGCCTATCCAAATTATGTCAAAATGGGCTTATGGCCCAAAAAGATATTTAATCATCCCTATGTGCTACATGTTGCATTTCCTTAGGGGTAAAAGGGTCATTTGGCGGACCAAGGATATTTGAGGGTGAAATATAAGATGAAGCAAGTAGGGCCCACCCACATTTTTCTTTCATAGTTTTCCAAAAAATCAAAAACAAAAAAAAATCCAAAAAGATTTTATATTTTTCATCATTTTTCGAAAAGACAAAAAAATTAGTTTTTCCAAATTAGTTGCATTTTTTTAAGCTTTCTCCCATGACCGATCTTCCCGAACTACGCATACCTGATTTTCGTCTTTCGGGACGGGATACGTAGGCAACCCACATAGGGTCCGGTCTTCCTAGTGAGTCTTAGGTTCTTAGGCTTCGCGGGGACTTAGCCAAATCTTGCATGTCTAGCCACCTTTGGCCACATCGGCCGTTCCTGCAATATGGGGCCATTTTTGCAAAGGTACCTCAGTGACCCATGTTTAGCAGCTTGAGTCCACAACTAGGTGTCATATTATTTCAATGTCCATCCCCCGCTGCATCTGCGTGTCTAGCCACTCTTGACAAAATCGGCCATTTTTGCCAAGTGAGCTCATTACCGTAGTGTAATTTTGGAGACTGGATTCCTAAAGAGGTTGGGGGATGTATAGGTCTTCGTGAGGTGTTTCCATGTCGTAGAGGTCATCCTAATTGAGTATTGCATTTTTGGACTCATTTGGCCACATAGGCCATTTTTGCAACAATAGCCCCAGTCATGTCTTGCGTGTGTTCGATAGGAGACGTCAACACCACATAGTGTCTTGAGTCACTAACTTTATTTAGCCTTATTCCTTTCAACAGGTATGGATCCACTTACCAGGGCTAGAGTGTCAATGGTGGTCAAAATTCCTAGAAGGCTAGTAAAATGGTGAAACATGTTCACATTACTTGAGCAACATGACCTGATGGGTAAATTAAGGACTCTTATTTCATTGATGGACATCACCCTCCATCCTGACCTCGTAGAAGCAATGATTACATTTTGGGACCCACAAGGGATGGTATTTAAGTTTGGGGATCTTGAGATGACACGTACCTTAGCTGAGATAGCCGGTTTGACTCGCTTGCCGTACCTAAACAAGGATTTGATTTACACAAGGGCTCATTCAAGTAAAAAGTTCCTTAAGATCATAAGGATGGATTTGGAAAATCACATGGGATGTTTAGACCAATCTTGGGTACGTTTAGACTTTTTGTTTGAGAGGTTTGCTCGTCCCACTGGATATGAGACCTTCATAGATGAGTTTTCCATAACATATGATTCTTGGAAGAAGAGGCGCCCTATGGTCTTCTCTATTGCATTATTCGGTCTCTTGGTATTTCCTTTGGAGGGTAGGCATATTAGCACACGCCTGGGATCAATAGCCTTTGCACTTTTCCATGATAAGCACAGTAGTAAGGTCACCTTGGTTCCGACAATTTTGGCAAAAATCTACCGTGCTTTGACCAAGATTCGAGAAGGCGGGAGGTTCTTTGAGGGAAGCAACCTGTTGCTGCAGCTGTGGTTGATGGAACACTTACATCCAGCCATAATGTTTGAGAAAGATGTGATTGACGTTGTCTAAGAGATCGAGTGAAGTGCATCGAGCATAGAATGACGTTCGATAAGTTTGCCTTACCACTTAGAGTTCAGGCTTGGATTGATTACTTAGGATCCTTGACTGAAGAGAAGATTTTATGGTCATATCTTTGGATTGATTTGGATGTGACCTTAGCAGGATCTCGCGTGCAGGACTTCTTGGTACTGGTTGGACTTTGGTGTAGTAGACCATATGCCCCTGCCAGAGTGATGCGTCAGTTAGGAAGGCGACAAGAAGTCCCCTAGATTCCCGATTCTCGTGACTTCATTAGGGAGTTTGATACTATGGCTCACATGGAGGTTGACATTCAGACCTATTGGCGTCACACAATGAAGATGGCAGAGATACTTTAGCAGCTGAGCCTCATTCACCCGGGTATACCCACGAGTACTTCATATGGCTACAGTCTACTCAGCGAGGGGTTAGCAGGCCATTGCCCCGACGTGTTAGAGGAGTATTTGACGAGGAGGCCACCTCATGGATATTGCTTAGACAGTTGATGGATCGATTTACCCAGGCAGAGGAGGCCCATGCAGCAGAGAGGGTCGGGGTTCGAGCTACACTTCAGTCATTGAGATCACATTTGGCAGGGTTGGTAGAGAACATGGGACAGCACCATGAGTAGCTTACTAGAGTCAACCTTCCAGATGCAGGCGCGCATTCTAGGATTCTCATTCCCAGTTTTGAGGTGTCTTTGCAAGGTATAATACAGAGCTTAGATTTGACAGGACTGACGGGGCCATCCGAATCTTCATCAGACCCGTCCCAGCTAGGACCGTCGCATTCAGGAGCAGCTTGAGGAGTCATTCTATTTAGGTGTTTTGAAATTGTCTTATGTTGTCTTTTATTTCCGTGTCTTGTCTAGGAGCACTGAATCCTTTAAGTAGTGTCAGAGTCTGTCGTAGTGTAGTTGAGTTTGTCCGGTCTTTCATTATTGTACTTCCCATTGTATTTTAATATCGAAAAGTTTTTAAATGAAAAAATCCAAAAAGATTTTATTTTTAGCTTATTTTCCATCACTTTTCTAGAACTACGTTTGGTCTGATTCATGAGGGACATGATACGTAGGCAACCTACATCGGGTTCGATCAAATTATTTTAAAAAAAAAAAGAGAGAAAGAAAGAAAAGAAGAGAGTGATAAGCCAAAAGATAAGAGTGGGAAGAAAATGATGTGTGGTAAGAGGTGCAAGAAAAGAAAGAGAAGCAAGGATTGAAATGAGAAAATTGGGATGATGTCATATGACCCTGCGACCCTCAAAGCCATTGTAGAACCGCTAATTGTTACTTTTCTTGCATTATTGTTCTTATTGTTCTGAGCCCACCTCGAGGTCACTAAGCTCGAGGTCACTGCTACTGAGTTACATTGGTTTGATTCACTTATTTCTTTCATTTCTACTTCATATTTCTTGATTATTAATTGGTATTGAGTCTAATCACGTATCTTTAAAACCACAAATCAAATTTAATTGTTACTCGTATTTTCGAGGTAACAGTTTGGCACACACCGTGGGGCTAAAGATAATAGTGATTGATTTTTTACTGATTCTCAGTACACACGTTATTTTTACACTTTTTCTTGTCAAGAATTTTTGATTCTCATGTTGAAACATGTCTAGCTCACAAAATGCACCTGTTCATGACAACGAAGGTCTTGGTGAAAACAACAATGGAAGGGTCGGTGTACCACGGATAAACCTTGGGGAAGAGCCAAACATAGAACCAGTTGATGTTAGTTCTCATATTGCTCCAAACACCAGCTTAGGCACTGACTCCGAAGGGAATGTACGCAGGGAAGCCCGGCAAGGGGACCAAGGAACACCGGGAACAGGAGATGGGGGAGTCAGCCT